AGGCTCCCCCAGTCCCTGAGGATCCCCAAATGGGACTCAAACTGGAAGAATCCTTTTGGCTCACCAGTCCAATAAATTAATAAATACTCTTTTGCTTGGGTATAATTAGGTAGGTCCTTGAACTAGAAAATAAATCTGTGCGGCCCTTTTTAATTCTAGATGTGGCCGTTGAAACCCTAGATTCTTGCCTGACTTAATTTAGGCATGATATGGCTCAGTGACTAAGATGCTGAGCTTGTGTATCAGAAAGGTCAGTAGTTCGGTGGTTCAAATCTCTCGCACCGCGTTACGGAGTGAGCTCCCGTGACTTGTCCCAGCTTCTACCCACCTAGCAGTTCAAAAGCATGTAAAATTGCAGGTAGAATAACAGGGACCCCTTTGGTGGGAAGGTAACAGCGTTCCATGCGCGTTCGGCGTTTAGTCATGCCGGCCATGTGACCACGGAGATGTCTTCGGACAGCGCTGGCTCCTCGGCTTTGTAACGGAGATGAGCACCACCTCCTAGAGCTGGAAGTGACTAGCAGGTATGTGGGAGGGGAACTTTTACCTTTACCTTTTTATTGGTTCTTAGACCCAGAAAGCATCTTAACAGCCCTTTTTAATGTCAAGTGTGCCAGTGATTTATAATCGATTTTATAGTTTTCTGCCTGGCATAATTTAGCCCTGGCGATGGTTCTTAGAACCAGAAAGGAAACCTCAATGGCCATTTTTAATGTTAGGTTTGACTTGATCGATTATAGATTTTATAGACTCTGCCTGGCATAATTTAGCCCTGGCGATGGTTCTTAGAACCAGGAAGGAAAATCCAATGGCCCTCTTTAATGTTAGGTTTGACTTGATCAATTATAGATTTTATAGACTCTGCCTGGCATAATTTAGCCCTGGCAATTGTTCTTAGAACCAGGAAAAAAGCCTCAATGGCTCTTTTTAATGTTAGGTATAGCCAGTTATTAATAAAAGGTTTCTAGTTAGGTATAATATTAGCCTGGGATGTGGTTGAAAATGTATGTTGTTTTTGACTGGTAAATGTTAATGATTACACACAATATGTGGCTCTCACCTCAAGAATTTTGATTTCTTTTATCACACACATTAGTCATCTTTTTATTCCAGGCTTGGTTATACTCTGTTTGACCAGAGTTTTACCCCTGACTTACTGTTGTTAAGTAGCTGTGATGCTTATGATAGACATTTTATCTGTTGCCTATTTTTATGTATCCTTTCATATCATCTCTTCACCAAGAGATGCCTGTTGTGATATTCAAGTGTTTGAACATTAAAAGTTTTGTTTTCTTTCTTCTGAGAGAAATCTTTCAATAACAACTGTGGTTTCTTTTACACCTCACCATTTTTTTAAAAATGTCATTTTAAATAAGTGAACCATTTACCTTACATCATGGTATTTTATTGTTGCTTTTGTAATGTTTATGATTATGTAACTTTTTGTCATCCTTAAAAAGCTGGATGATACTTTTATGTATTTTATCTTTATGACTTTACTATGATTTGAATTGTTGTACAAACTGTTGCAGTTGGGTTATGCTTGGAAGATGAGATGCTAACAATAAAAGTATTTGAATGCTTTCAAGTCTTCCTCAACTATATTTGTGATCCTGCAATCAGGATCTTGGACCTGTTGGGCACCCTGCACTTCTGCTCTTTGCTGAAATCACCAAGGAACATCTTTTGTGAGGACTCGGGGTTTTGGTGTATTCGGAAATGTCC